TCCGCCATTGACTATATCATATATTACTAGGCTGAGTATATATAGTATAAATAGCTGACTGTATATAATATAAATACGTATGCAAGTGGCGGCCGGTGTGTGATGTAACTGGTGCGGACCTTGTTCTGTGCTGCGCAGTGACATAATTGAGGAAATACTGGACCGCAGCATTTTGTGTATACAATAAAAACAGAGTGCGTAGTAGCTCCAATGGGCCGTCGTATGACACGCCGAACAGCAATACCTGAGCCAGAACAATATTCGATAAAAAAGAGCTGCGCCCATATAGCTGAGAAATCGCCCTTAAATATCCTACGGAGGCGAAAATCTCTGCAACAATATAATTAGCAACGGCGCCGACGGGGTCTTACTATAGAGTAAAGTCCCTTCACCGTTGAAGTCACGGCATCCGAGCGGCGCCGCCTCCACGATTGCTTGAGTATCTAACGACTGACACGCCGCGATGAGAGGCAACGAAACGTTCCCATCACACATTGTTATATCATAGGGACGAAATACCCCCTGGACAATCGACCCCTCCAGGGACAATTTACCGACCCCGGAACAATTATCCCCCACGGACAATTAGCCCCCCAATCGCCATTTACGCCCGCCCCATGCCATTACCTCTGACCGCGCATTTACGGCCACCACGCGGACAAGTTACCCCCCCACCGGACAATTAACGCCCCACGGCCACAATTACCCCCCATGGAGCCCCGCCATCTTACCGGACCCCGGACATTTCACCGCCCCCTGCCCATAATTACCCCCGCGGACAATTATCCCGGGTCCGCTCACCCCGGACATTTACCCTTCCAGCACAATTACCGCCCCGGACACTCCACTACCCCCCCGAGACATTATCCACCGCCAGACAATTTACCCGCCCCGGACATTTACCAGACCCCACGGACAATTAACCCAGCCATGCCATTGTACCGTCTCCCCATTGCCATTCACCCCCCCGGAGCAATACCCCCCGGACAGTTACGCCTCCCGGACATTTACCCCCCGGCACAATATACTTACGTTGTTGTTTATTTAATGCAATCTCGTTGAACAGTGATACATGGGCAGGAGGTTCGAGGAGGAGGGAAGAAGGTGGGTGACGAGGAGGCAGGGGGAGAAGGTGGGAAGAGAAAGCGCTGGTGGAAGGAAATAAGAGGTAGGGGCAGACAAGCCAGAGAAGGAGGATGGAGTAAGGAGAGGGGAAGCGGTTTTGGAAGGAGAGAAGAAGGAGAGCAGGAGGAAGAGAAAGAGAGGAGGTAGCGGAGGGCCAAGGTGGTGGATGAAACGGGAAGAAGTGGTGCGAGGAGGAGGAGGAGGAAGGAGGAGACGAGGCGCGAGGAGGAAGCGAGAGGGGGTCGGGGAGCGCGGAATGGTAGAGGAGGGCGCCGGTAGGATTGTCGGGGGGTAATTGTCCCGGCGGGGTGATGAAAGCTGGTGCCGGGGGAGGGCGTAAGAATGTCCAGGGGGTAAATGTGCCGGGGAGTAATTGGTCCCGGTGGGTAAATAGTCCGAGGGGTAATTGTCCGGGCGGGTAATTGTCCGGTGGGGAGGTTAATATGTCCGGGGGTGATTGTCCCGGTGGGTAAAATGTCGCGGGCGGGTAGATTGTCCGGGGGGTGAATGTCCGGGGGGGTAAATGTCACGGGGGTAACTTTTTCCGTGGGGTGTAAATGTCCGGGGGGTAAATGTCCGGGGTGGATTCGTCCGGGGGTAAATGTCCGGGGGTAAATTGTCTGGGAGCGGGTGATTGTCCGGGGTGAATCTGGCAAGGGGGCGTAAATGGCATGGGGGAATGTCCTGGGGCGTAATTGTACCCCCGGGGTAAATTGTCCGGTGGTGATTTGTCCGGGGGGTATTCCTGATACATATAGGTTACGTATTCGTTAGGACCGAAGGCCGGATGAAACCGGTGTTTGATTTTTATGTCCATTCCGCTGCATTCATAGAAAAGTGAAAGAAAAGTAGAGAGAGAGAGTGAGTGAGTGAGTGACAGAGAGCAATACTGGTGTATACGCGATCACGCCTTCACTGCAATAATTGTCTTTTTCCAGGTGATCACCGTACTGGGCACTGTCACCATGACGTCTATCATCTCCAACACGGCCCTACTCGAACACTGCGTCATATGGCTGATGGTGGGCAAGGGAGTGCTGCTACCGGTGCTCCTCCTGGTGGTGGATGCGGAATACAGGCGATACGTGCTCGCTAAACTGTTCCCGTGCTGCTGCGAAGCGGATAAGGTGCAGGAGAAATCGCAGCTGTCAACACTGGGTAAGATTCTATCGTAGACACACTCCGTGTGATGTAGAGGCTATATCGGCACGCTGTTCCTCCCCTAACTCTCTCACAAACTCTCTTTTTCTCTCCCCATTCCTCTCCCCACCTATCTCTTTATATAGCGCGCGCGCTCTCTCTCTCTCTCTCTCTCCCGCGCTCTCTCTCTCTCCCTGTCACGCGCGCGCTCTCTCTTTTTCGCTCTCTCCCCTTTTTCATTTCTTATATATTCATCTACACCTCGCTCTTGTTCCTTTGTGGTATATCTTCCCTACTAGTAGCTACTTTCTTCACGCTCTCCATCTTTGTCATATTTCTATATGGTTATTTCTTATACATCCATCACTTATAGTATCTCCCGCTCACTCTATCAATTTCTCTTTCTCCCTCGCGCTCTTTCTCTACCCCCTCCCCCCCCATCTTCGCCGGACAGTCATTAAAAACCAGCTCAAGAAGTGTTTTCGATTTTCCATACTCTTTCACTTTCACATTGTGCAAATCGACTCCAGAGGGAGTAGGTCTATTCAACAGACAAGCAGTTCTGTGTAAATGTCGCATATAAAGAGAGCAGATGAAAGGCGCAGTAAATCCCGTACGCAGCACGAAAAAGGGCAGCAGCGGACGGCAATTTTCGTCTATTTTTTTTTTAATCTAATGGATTCTAGAACGCCACGACGTGTGTGTGATGTTTCTCGCTGTTGTGCGGCGCGGTGATAAGTGAGAAGAGTGAAGTGAGAGAGTGAGTGAGGGGGAGAGCGCGCGCGAGAAAGGGAAGGAGAATGCGAGAAAGAGAAAGAGAAAGAGAGAGATAGTGATATAAAGAGAAGGAAAGCGAGAAAGAAAGAAAGAGAGAAAGAGTGTGTTACAGAGGGAGAGAGAGAGAGAGAGAGAGAGAGAGAGAGAGAGAGAGAGAGAGAGAGAGAGAGTAGTAGAGAGAGATATATATATATATATATGTGTGTGTGTGTGTGTGTGTGTGTGTGTGTGTAGTGTGGTGTGTGGTGTGTGTCGTGTGTATGTGTGTCGTGTGTGGGTTACGTGTGTGTTGCGTGGCCGTGCGTGCGTGGCGTGCATCGTTGGCGGTGGCGCCGCGCGCTACACCGTGCCGCGCGGCGCGTAGTGTGTGCTGTGTGGTGTGTAGCGAGAGAGAGCCGGAGCAGACAGAGAGCGAGGGGGAGATAGAGAAAGAACAGAAGGGAAGAAATTGCTCGACAGAAGTGAAATGGAATTATCTGATTGAGTTGCTGGTTTCCATGACGACTCGTCAACGCCCAATTGACAAATACGTTGACTGGACAATCCTCGAAAATCGTATTAAGCTATTCTCGACGAAAATATATTCGATTTGTTTTTATATAACTTCATTGGGAGCACTCCCCCATAAACAACAAAAAACAGGAGTTGAACTATAGAAGCAATGCACGATAATGCGCTTGATATCTCGAAAACGGACAAAGCGTTAGGAGCTCCCGCTCGCCAGGGGCGCAGAAAATGCAGAAAGTCTTCTTCGGGAGCAATGACGACCGTCAGCCCGAGGTATAAGCCCGATTCCGGTAAAACATACACACACGGGGCTTAATGTCATGAACGTTTATGCGGAGGCACTTCCATGTTGTAAATGAGGCGGAACATTAGACCTACTGGGATCGCTGGCGCGGGGTTTGTTTGTGTTCGATGAAGGAAGATCATGTGTTCTTACGTATTTATAATCGATTCGCGTTTATCCGCTGGCGGAATAGCCAGTAATTAAATTATCTATTAGCGCGATGCTGCTATTTTTATTACTTTTATTATTAGACTCAGCTGATATTAATAGTGTTTAATTGTGATTAATTGCTGTGCGCGCGGCGCGAGAGGCAGCGGCTGGGGAGGTACGGCGTGTATTTACAGTAGATGTGCATGCTGTGTGTCTGTGTGTGTGTGTGTGCTGTGTGATGTAGTGTGTGCTGTTGTGTTTTGCTGTGTGTCTGTGCTGTGCGTCGTCGCGTCAGGCGTATATGGTGTGGCGTGCTGTGTGTGGTGTGTGGTGTTGTGTGTGTGTTTGTGATGTGTGTGTGCTGTCGTATTGTAGGTCGTGTGTGTGTGGTGCTGTGTGTGTGTGTTGTGCTTGTGTGTGTGTGTGTGCGTGTCTGTGCGTCGAGCGTGTGTGTCGCGCTGTGTGTGTGTCTTCGTGTGTATGCAGCCGTGGTGCGTGCGTGCGTGTGCGTGAGTGCCGGTGCGCGCGCGTGGTGTGCGTTTGTGTGTTAATGCGCAGTGTGGTGCGTCGCGTGCGCGCTCGCCGTAGTGTTGGTGTTTGTTGTGTATGCGCGTGTGGTGCGTTGCGCCGCATGGCGGTGTGTCGTTGTGCCACCGCGCCGACGCCGTCATTTGCGGCAGCAACACCCCGCGCGCCCTGCCTGGTTGGTGCGTGCCTAGATTCTATTAGCACGCAGAGCTTGTTCTAAACTGGCGGACCACGAGCAAGCGCGTCGTTGGATAAATTCAAATCATATTGATCATCACAAGCGAACCATGTATATGGTTGCCCGTATCAAGTGGTGAGAGTGATCCAAAACAATTCCAAGCCGGCCAGATGCGGACTACAAGTCCCATGTCAGAACGCCAATGTTACGTACAGTCGCTTCGAATGTATCGTGGTACATAGATTATTGAGACGAGAGAAGAGAGAGAGAGAGAGAGAACGAGTGCGGGGAAGATGGGTACCATAAGCTTGGCTACCATAGGGGAGTTGGCATACGAAGGAGACACTATTGAGTTTGATAAAGGCACATGCCTAAGGCTGATAAAGGATGGTGCCTCATCAGGACCGCCAAAAAGAGCTTCAACTTTTCAATGCTGGCCTGAGCCAACCATTGCTATGATCGCTTCCAACGGAATCTGTGTGAGGACCGAGTGTTAGGGTAGGGATGGAGGCAGGGGTAAGGTTGAAGTGGGAGAGGAATGGGTGAGGATGATGAATGTGGTTGAGCATTTTATTATTGTGATGAGTGATGCAGATATTAGGCGGGAATGTATGCGTAGGACTCATAGAAGTCGATGGGTCGTTACATCAGAAATTTGCAAAACAAAGACTCGACCGGGCGGCGGCAACATTTATTCCACTGCGCTTACGTCATTCCCGCCATGGCGGCTTACCCAGGTCAATTCCCGGAGCCTGGCGGCTGCACGGGCGCGTCTTGCCCTCCCCGTGGACGGCTCACGGCT